AATCTATATTTCTTTAACTTACATCATGGTGACTAATTTTTTTTTACCACGCACTGAAAATTATCAAGAATTATGTTGATCAATTATATTACAATTTATACTAATATACAGTTTAAATACTACATCAATTACTCTTATTCATCTTCAGCTTCGTCATCGTCTTCCTTGCCCTCTTCAACATCTATTTCAAGAGACGTTTCTTTGTCAGCGTCAATATACGAATCACACATGCACCAAATCGATAAGTTATGATGACCAGCATTTGGAATAGTAAATTCCATCTTCAAGTGTTGAGACTCTTTATCAATAGTTGCTTTTTTGATAGCATACAATTGCCTAGAGCTTGCATCACCGATAATAATCCACCATGACTCTTTCTTAGGGAATGGATAAAAGGGAGCAACAACATTTAAGTCGTCCATATCTTCATCTCTTTCCAATTTTATAATAATTTCTTTAGGTTCGTTAGATTTAATTGTTTCAGATAAATCTAATTCGTAGCTGATATCAATATTAGGGTATTTGTTAACAAACTCCGCCACCTTATTCAACTTTTCATCTTCCAATCTTAATATATCATTTCTTTCATCGTCTTCTAAAGACATAATATCATAGACAGTCTCAACCTCACCTTTTTTGCACCTATTCAAAATTGCTTGGTCAAAATGGGGAACTTGTTTTAAAGGACTATCTCTATTCCAAACAGCCTGCACGATCATTTGAGATAAGTCCATAGCATGAATAGCATTCAAGTATCCTTCACTGGACAAGGTATCGATACACGCATATAATATCTTTAGGATATTTTCTAATACAAACTTTTGGTCATTGGCTAAATCTAGCGGCAACGGAATTCTTGAAAAATGTGCTTGCAAGAGTAAGAATGCTTTGAAATATGGCGACTCGTAGTCAACATCTGAGGCTTTAACTGGCACCTTGTTATGGAGTTTACTCAATATTGCCTCTTCGTTTTGCCTTATTGGTAATACATCAAATTCTGAGGCTGAAGTGATAATCTCAAGAATACCCTTCAATTTTGTTTTGTTTCCTAATCTATTGAATTCTTTTATCGTGTTAAACGAAACATTGTAATAAGCGGAGATCATTGCTCCATTTAATGGAACAATTTCTTCTTCTTCTTCTTCTTCGGATTCTTCGCTGTCTTCAGATTCTTCAATTTCAATTATCTTAGCTTCTTCTAATTCCTTCAATGTGCTTTCAACCAACTCTGACAAAAACTCTGAAACACCGAAATGAGATGTGTCCTTAACATCGTAAAAGCTAGGGTTTGCTAAAATCCTTCTATAAAAGTAAGTAAACGTCAACCAATCAATACAATCCTGTCTTGTTTTAAAAGTTCTCGTACTAATCTCTGTAATAAAGGCATCATGTAAAGAAACGTTCAAAAAACTCTCAATTGGTAAAGCTTCATTCAAAAACTTGTTGTAATACGTCAATTTTGCCGAATTAGTGAATATTAATGCTTTGGCTTCATTAGTATCATCTTTGCAGCATCCCACCATTTCTAATATATTGTTGATTGAGTAATCAATGAGACGATGTTCCTTTCCTTCGAATTCTTGTGTACCAAGGACAACAATATTATTTGCTGAAGGACAATAATAAGATGTATCTTTTGATGCAATTAATACACTTAAAATATTGTTACTAAATAGCTTTTCAATGATTAATTTATCCATCTGATTCATATTATTATAGTAAACCCCAATACCATGGGAAAGACACTCTATTAAATTCCTATCGGTTATTCTTTTCAAGTAAGGTTCAATTACTTCTAAATCTGTTCTTAACAACAGCCAATTGTCGTTATTTGAGTGTTGAATATATTTAAAAGCCATCTCGATACACTGCTTTCTCGCTGACACAAATACAATCGCTTTACCTTGATTAGTATTATCTTTCAAGAATTGATACGAAGGTCTAATTAACGACTGCATGAAAGATTCGTGATCATTGAAGTTAGAGGCCTGAAGTCTAATTTCTTTGATTTTGTTAAACCTATTCGAAGGATCAAAATTAAACACGTTTTGCTTATTGCATCCAATCCATTCTCCAAAATCTCTACCATTTGACAAAGAGTTCGACATAGCTATTATTCTTAAACTATTATCTACCTGAGTAGAAATGAGCCTCATACGTGCAACAAGAATTTCATAGGCAATACCTCTCGAACCATTACCAACCATGTGAGCATCGTCGCATATAAGTAATTCAATTGCTTGAACAGATTTTCTTTGTCTCCAACGTCTTGATACAAATTCAAATTGATCAGGAGTCGCTAGAACCAAATGGCTTGATGATAATAAACTAATATCTGTAGCGAGATCGCCGGTTAATTTATTTATTATTTTGCTGGGTTCCGTTATTTTGGAATATCTTTTCCTCCAAGATTTTAGCTGCATATCGACAACTTCCTGTGTAGGATTGACGTAAACAATCCTACCCTTATTTTGCTTCCAGTGATTCAAAATGGCTAATTCAGCGCATACAGTTTTTCCGGAACCTTTCGACATACCAATAAAAACATTTTCATTCGAGTTGAATAAAGTTTGGAAAACCTGTGATTGAAATTTATTGAAATAGTTAAATTCAAATGTTTCAATAAATTTGGGTATCTTCAATGAAGAAGTTGGGATACTTTGTAAATCTAATAAATCGGTAAATGGAGGGAATTTCTTTGGCATTTTCATGTCGGTAATCACCAATGGAACTCTCCATTCAGAATGCAACCATCTTTCACTTATAAGAGTAATGAAATAAACCGGCTCGACGGGATCAAGGATTGGTATTGTGAATTCAACTAAATGTTCTTTCTCAGCATAGTTTCTATAAATACGCAAGTTGTCTGAAAATAGGATATTTTCACCATTACAATCTTCGACCAATAGCCAGAACAGTTCAAAATTCCCATGGATACTTGGATTCCACTTCCAATCAGGAATAATTTCAAGCTGGACCCTAAGCAAACTAGCTGTTATAGGTTGTGCATATGTGCTGAGCGTGACCTTTGGAAATTGACGTAACAACTCATAAGCTTTCTGGCTATTGCCTTTGAAATTGATAGCTTCTGCAAGCTCAGAGGCATTAAGGTTAAAATAACTGACCCATGGTAAGTGTGAGTTTTCACTAGCCTTTACAATTTCTCTTGGTACTAGCGATCCAAATTGTCTAAATGGAGAATTTGTTAACCACATTCTTTTCTCTACCATCTTACATAAGTTTAGGGTAACCTTCGACAATGTCGACCAATTTTTTCGTAAGGTTATTTCGTGAATAGCTCTCAAAAGCCTTCCACCAGATTGTGTGATATATATCATATCAGCCATCAACGCAAAGCCATCTAGTGTTAATCTGGAGATGTATGCTTGAAGTAGAACATTAACCTTAGCCAAAGGATCATTTGGATTTTCTCTAATTGGAAACGGACACTTTTCCAATAATTTAGCCACCTCTATTTTTTCTTCTTGTCTAACAGGAATGAATTTAAATTCGCCAGACATCGAAAAAATCTTCAAAATATCTATCTCTGTCAGCCATGGCTTCAACTGATTATTGTACATATTAATAGTCTCATAATTAATATAATAATGAGATGATATCTTCCCCAATTCTGTAGATTTTATGTCTCCATTTTCCAGATTATATATAAGTAATCTATTCTCATGCAAGATTGTTAAAGCAGAGTGAACCAAATCAACTCTTTTCCAATAAAGACTTTCGTCATCTTTGTAGTCGGCACCAACGTGATATAATGCAGGAGAACGAAGCATTCTGATATACAAGTATGTATAACCTAACCAGTTTACAGCATCCTCTCTAGACTTTATTGTTCCTAGTACAATTTCTGCATTAAGATTATCAGCTAATTTACTCATAAGCTGAGACTCGATAGGAAGCTGTTGATTCAATATAGCAAGATAGTACTGAATTTCATCTTGGGAAGTAATAATTACACCTTCACCACTTTTATCATACCTGGGTCTACCAGCTCTACCAAGCATTTGCAATATATCTTGAGGAGATAATTGAACCCATGTACCTCTTTCAGGACTATATGTTTCTGTGCCTTTAATAACAACCGTATGTGCTGGTAAATTGACACCCCATGCCAATGTAGCCGTAGATACTAAGACCTGCAAGTGGCCCTGTGCAAACAAGTCTTCAACAACACTTCTCTCACGCTTGTTCAAACCGGCATGATGTATACCAAAACCGGCGGGCACGATTTCCTTCAAACTTCTATTATCCATTTCTTCCGCCTCCAGTTTCAAGATTTCCCGAGAACCAGAATCCTGTTTTAAAATCATATCTAATTTATCTTCTTGAACTAACTTTTCATGTAACCATTTTGCAGTTTTATATGTATCTTTTCTTGAATGAACAAATATAATCATTTGGTGTTTATTATTAGCACAGTCTAGCAATTTATCGTAACAAGCTTCATTCATTGCATTTAATTTCTTAATTGCCTTCTTTTCTTTTATCCCAATGAACTGCTGTTCTAATGGACATGGTCTATATGAAGAGTCAAAATAAAAAAGTCCCATTTTAAAGTCAACTCTTAAAAGATTTGCTACATCTTCATAATTAGGCAATGTAGCTGAAAGGCCAACCAATCTCACAGGATCGTTAGTGTATTCAACCTGTCGTAATGTTCTACTAATTATACTTTCCAAAACAGGTCCTCTTTCGTCATGTAACAAATGAATTTCATCAATAATAATTAATCTTGTCAAGTTCGTGTAAGACAAGTCAGAGCTTTTTCTAGTAATAACATCCCACTTTTCTGGGGTAGTAACTAATACTTGAGTTTCGCTTATTTGTTGCTTAGATAAACTTGAATCACCAGTCAACTCATTAACAATTATTCCAAAGTTTGCAGTCAAACGTCTTTGAAACTCTCTCATTTGCTCTTGCACCAAGGCCTTTAATGGGGCAATATAAACAATTTTGAAGTTTCGAAGATCCAATTGTCCAGTTTCAGGATCTCTGTAATTATGAATAGCTCTTAAAATAGTGAGCATCGCAACGTTAGTCTTACCAGCCCCTGTTGGAGCACAAATCAACAAATTCTCGTCTGTATTAAAAGCCAGAGGAAATATTTTGGATTGTATACGATTTAAGGAAGAAGTTTCAGATGAAGGGAAAACACATCTAGTCCACTCGGGTAAATCAGAAATGGATACAAGTTTTTCGTTACTTTCTTCTAATGATGGAGGTGGTGAAGGAGGTGGAATGCTAATCACGTCGTATAGTTTCTTGTTTTGTTGATACGAACCTTGGGGAAGTTTAATTTTTGTATTAGTCATTAAATGTGATCCTTGATCGAAACTCATTGAGTCTAAATCGACAATCTTAGGTTCTCTTTTAGGTTTTATTATGCTTTTCTTAGTTTTTTTATTAGACTCACCGCCATCGTCGTGAGATAGTTTTCTCTTCTTACCTGGTATTGTGTCTTCGTTTTGATTTTCAAACTCCAAAATCAAAGAATCAAGTTTTAGCTCTGCCATGTCCTCGAATATCTTCTGCTTAGATTCCTCGCTTTCATTTTCTAGTAATTTTATCTTAAATACTAATCTCCAACGGTTTTCTATAGAAAATTTTATGAGATCGAAGTGTTCGTAGTTCATTAATTCCATTAGTTCATTTTCTAATTCTCTTGTTGATAATTCATAAGATGATAAAAATTGCATGAACTTGTTAGTGACTTGTTGTATAATAGAAGGATCGGAATCTGTCAAGTTGGATGAGATCTTTCTTTGAAGATAAAATTGATCAATCTCATGTAATGGAACTACAACGGCTTCCTTGCTTGAAGTTTTATCATTGGATTTTATTACTGCCTCATCATTGAGGCCATTTTCGGCTTCTTCGCTGGTTTCTCGTTGAGGTTCATCTTCAACCTCATCCCCCACGCTATGTTCTATTCCATCATTCTCTTCCTCATCACTATTATCGAATATAACCGCAATTCCTTGATTATTATCTTCATCATCCATATCTTCTATCATTTGTACGTCGTAATCAGTAACTCTCTTCGCTAAATTAATTAATCCATTAAATTCAAAGTCATTGATTTTTGTATCCAATAAGTCTGTAATTTCTTTCCGCTTTTCAGCAGGAGAAGTATCTTCTTGTTTCAATATTTCTAATACTGAATCTGCAGCCGATATTATAACATCATGACTAGAATCAGGCAAGAAATTGTGGATTTCCACCATTATTAAATCAAATATATGAGCGGTCTCTTCATTTGTAGGATGATATGAAATATTCTCCAAAGTCCCTGTATATGAATACCTATTAGAATTTGATTGTTTGGCTACGTTGCTTTCCTTTATCACTGGTTTATCGGACGAATTGGTTTGGGAAACTCTCGTACCCATATCTTTAGCAGATATATGGCCCGCTAATGAAACTGGATTGGAATCATCCTTGTCATCTCTTCGGCGATTACGATCATCTCGCAACACCATATTCGACATTTCTTCATACTTGTACTGCTTATTAAACTCTGAATTGGGCTCTGGCATCTCTATCGTATGAAGTCTATTTTATCTACTATACAATATAAGATATATTTCAATGTAAACTCATTACTATTTTGCAAAATTAGTTTTGTGTAACATTCAGTTTCCATGATGCTATCAAAAGACTTCTACAAAACAACAGTTGATAGAAAGAACGCAACCATGGTAGAGTAAGTACTTAAGGTATTATAAGTAATTCTACGTGATACTATATTTCATATTAAATTTTGTTTTATTAAAAAAAGCTAATAAACAATGGATGATGGTCATAATCTATAGAATGGCATCTCTTTTAGTTAGGATCAAAAGATTAGTAGACTTTGTTGGAGAAGGTACCCTTTTCAAAGTTCCAGGTGTCATCAGATATTCTACCTCTTAATTCCTTGATTTCAGAACCAGGAACGTAGACATCTTCGAATAAGATGTCCATCTTAGCTTCAGGTGGAGCATCAGCTTCGGCTTCAGCAACTTGTTCGTCGACGTATTTTCTAGCAGCCTTGTCGTAAGACTTAATTTCTTCTTCGGTAGCAATGTTTAATTCTAATAAAGTAGCCTTTAATCCAGAAATTGGATCGTTTCTAGATCTCATGTGTTGGACTTCTTCTCTAGTTCTATAAGTGGTACCAGGGTCAGACATGGAGTGACCACCGTATCTATAGGTTTCGTATTCCAAGACTAATGGACCGTTACCCGAGGTACACCAGTCCTTAGCAAACTTGGAAGCTTGGTAACAAGCCAAAATATCCATACCGTTGACCTTTAAACCAGGAATGTATTGACCTCTCTTGTAGTATTCAGTCATAGCGGATGATCTTGAAGCAGAAGTACCCATACCGTACTTGTTGTTTTCACAAGCAAAAACACATGGTAAGTCCCATAACTTGGCCATGTTGTACGATTCGAAAACTTGACCTTGGTTGGAAGCACCATCACCGTAAAGGTTAAAGGTGACGTTACTTTCACCTCTGTACTTGTGGGCAAAAGCTAAACCAGCTCCTAATGGAACTTGAGCACCCACAATACCGTTACCACCGTAGAATCCTTGTGCATACATGTGCATCGAACCACCCTTACCGTAAGAAACACCCGATCTCTTACCCATCAATTCTCCCAAAACTTCCTTGACAGATGCTCCTCTCATGTATGTGAAACCGTGACATCTGTACGATGTAATCACAGAATCCTGCTTGTTAATAGCACCCTCAATACCAACAGCAATCGCTTCTTGCCCGATAGACAAGTGACAGAACCCTCTGATCTTCTTGGCCTTGTACAAAGCATCCGAAGCCATTTCCATTCTTCTGATAATAATCATGTCCTTGTACATCTGCAATAACGTTTCCTTTTCAGTTTCGAAGCTTAATTCCGGAACGTCCAAGTTGTAACCTTCAAATGATGATTCTGGTAATTTGATGCTAACTAAGTCGCTGGATGCACTGGCCATGGTTCTTCTGCCCATGACACCAGCTCCCCTAGTCAATTGGTGTGTAATGCTACGGCTGATCATATTATCTCCTTCCAATTATACTTTAACGTGATAATATCCCGGTATGTTACTTCTTTCTCTTCTTATATCGGGCTCATCTTGCTTAACGGATTGTAGAAATCCGCTTAGTGGGAGAGAACGGGACCCGTCGTGTCAAAACCGAGCCATTTGTCGGGGGTATAACTCCGGCAAAAGTGCATCCGATGGGATGAAACCCAAACAATATCCACGATATTTTGGTGCATGGTTGTGGTGCATTGATTTATATGAATGTTCCTAAAGAGGCAGGAAGCCGCAGATTCCCACAAAGCTTGTTTCAGATTGTTCACTAGCATATAAATTAGATAGTGATGATCATACAATAAAGGGGATTACGACCAGCACGGCGAATCTGCGCTTGATGTGGAAATAAAAAGCAGTGATAGCCCACATTCGGATGGCCCTGAGATATATTTGGTGTTAACTTGATAGATACATATTTCAAACACCGGTAGTGGTGATAATTCGCAGCTGAACATTAATTAAGTCCGATGTCGCAACCAAGCACACCGGAGAATCGCAAAGCCAGGGTTAGTTGGCGAAAAAAGCTATTGAAAGGAAGTAGTGGTCGAGGAGGTGGTAGTCTGGATGGAGACAGTGCGATGATGGGGAGGATAAGTCCGAGCACTACCAGTACAACGGAGACGGGGTCTCCTCGGGCCAAGGGTAGTAGGATGGGAGGTTACGCGGGAGGAGGGTATTTGGGAGGAGGATATATCAGCTATTCTGCGGATAGCAGTCGATGTGCAAGTGAACAGGGGACGCCTAGGAAGTCGGGAATGGCATTTTTGGGGCTTCTTCATAAGACAAGGACTCCGAATAGCGGGTCACCCAACATGGGAGACATAGGAGACCCATCGCATGAATTAGACAGCTTATTCACAGGGTCTGCTAATCCATTTTTCTGTAATGCGTCGTTGGCATTGCATGAGATGGTTAGTCCGAAACAGGGGCCAAAAGGGCCCCAAGTCAAGCCGTTTATCTTCACCCAGTCGCACCAAACGACTACAAACCGACCGGGCCTGGGTACTCGGTGTCTCATATGCGACGATTTTCTTCAAACTAAGCTCCTGGATGAAAAAATAGTTGATTTAAAGTGTGGTGACTTCGTGCACAGTGAATGCTTTCAAATCACCATAAACTATGAGATCGAACGTTTGGCAGAAACGTCTTCGCTCAACTCCAACAGCGATCATTCGACTTTAATCCAACAAATTTTCCCAAAATGTACAGGCAAGGAGTGTTTGACAAGTGGAGCGATAACACCTATGTTACCTATGGATGAGAGCTATGTGGACGAAATAATTGTCAATGCATTGATTGCGCAACAGGACCACGATTCAAAGACGAAGAATAGTAACCTTGCAGCATTGGGTTCAACTTTAGAATCTAATAAAAATCGAAAAAAACTTCAATACGATTCGTCTCCTACCATTAGTCCCCTTATAACGCCAAAGTTGACCAAACAATTACGGCCAGTTTTTGGTTCGTTCATTTCGGATCCAGTCATTCCAACCCGTCCTTTAAAGCCAAGGCCTAGGGTATCACTTATACGGGAATCTTCTATCAACACAAGGTCTCCTTCACCCAATTCTAGCATTTCTACTATGAACACTGAGACTATTAAAATTACCAATTACAAAGGAGTATCTACTGAGGCATTAAAGGACCAGTTTATTCAATATTTAATCGACAATTGTCCTCAATTCAGTTTATCGACTCTTTTGAAATTGGGTCCTTTACGCTTAGTCGATCAACTTCTAGTAAGCACTTCAAGTCTAAAATTGTTTGAACAAAAGATTTGCTATCTTTTTACGAACTATTTAGCCATATGGACAATCGATGGTCCATATCCTATATTGTTTCCCTTGGATCCCGAAAAATTATCAGTTAGCACACATAATGAGTCAGTATTGAGATTAAGGACCGCTGATTCGAGTTCATGCATTAAAGAAATCTTGTTAAATTCCGAAGTTGATTCAATTATCGAAAAATGGGTTGTTGCTGTATCTGATTTTTGTTTTTGCTTCCCTTCTGATGTGCTTACATCAACCATTATCTTGCCTAAATATAGGAAAGAGGCCTGTTCTATTGATGAGGTACTTTTCCCCAAACCTTGTGCCCGCCGAAATAGTTCGAATACAGTTTCTTCCGTTAAGAAAAGTAATTCTACAATTGATGTGATTGATATCAATAATGAAACTCCCATTATTTCAAAGCTTTCATTTCCATCGCCTTCTAAAGTAAACATATCCTATGCCGATAGTGACTCTGATAGCGATTCTGACCTCGAAAAGATTACAAATGCGCTAAATTTAGAGCATCCTTCAAAGAATTCAGTTATTTCAATGATTCATGATAATCCTTCTTATCATAGCAACAAAAATCAAGAAACTGATAGTGACGATGACGATTCTGATCAAGAATTGATCGATGATATTCTAAAGCAAAACGAGAAACAACCGGCCGATGGTTGCGAAAACGGATGGAATGCTTTGTTCGCAGATATCACTCTCGCGCTCGTTAATAATCAGAACTACTAGATGCATATACTAAGGTATGTAATGTAAAATTAGTCTATATTCGTGATTTGTTTTAATAAATAAGGTTGCATTAATTAATTTATTCATTTTTTGCAAAACGATCGATTTCTGTAGCGATCCTTTGAACCCAAACTTCCCTTTCTTGTCTCGACCTGGCCATAAATACAATACTTTTACCAGTAACTCCTAATTTCTTGATCATCCTGATTAAACCAGGATTTTTTTCGCATGACACCCTTGATTCATCTTCTTTCGTATTGTTGTACTTTGCAGCAGCTCTATCTTTCCCCACAAATCCTCTTTTCTTCCCAAACCATAACGTAAAACACCTCACAGGCTCCTCTTCTGAAGACTTCCATCCATCTGAATATATTCTTGGTAGGGAATGATGCCCAGGGTTCCCCGCGTGAAATTCTTGTTCATCAGTTAGTAAATCTAATGCAGTAGTTTGACCTGAATAAACATAGCAATCAGATATAGGAATTGTCAAGTAATGTTGAAAATATGGAGTCTGTTTCCACGATCCAGTCCTTTTAGACCTTTTGTACAACGTAAATAGCACCAAAAAGCCTGGACAGAGTACAATGTAGTATTGGTTGAAATTTGAATGTTTCTTGAGTTTCTGGTATAAATAGCCACTCATAAGCACGCAATTAGTCATAGCAATACAATTAATGTTATACATGTTTGGATCAGCATGCGAATTACGCGGTCCCATTATATCATTTTCTTGGATGATATTCGAATCAACATACTCATTAATTTTTAAATCCCTTTCATTTTGAAGTCGAGTACAAATTAGGCTATTTAGATCGTTAAGCCTTCTACTTACCCAATAATCACGTAGCTCTACCAATCTAGTCACCCATTCGTCTCTTACAAGTCTGGATGGTGCTTGGAGTTTGATAATACTACCATTCTGCATTTCAATTTCAAATAAAGAATCTACTATTGAGTTATCATGAACCAAATCAGGAGCTGAGTACCAAAGGAGACATAATAATAAATTTTGAGCTTTTCGACTACGCTGAACTGGAATAGCTCTAACATCTACAATCAAGCAGATATCAATTAAAGCTTCCGCTTTAATTATTTGCTGAGCCCTTCTTTCTAACTCTTGTATAGCATTTTGGTCGTGAAGTTCGAAGTCATCCTTATTCAACCAGGAAATGTGCTCATTACTATCTATTGGAAATGGATTATGTTCATATACTGGTGGCAATTTGTCTAGTATTCCTTCAGTATTATCTTTCAATAATGCATTATTCGGAGAAGGGGGCATACCTCTGAAAAACTTTGTGAAAAAAAGTATATCGTCAGCGCTGTAAAAGTATGAAATTTTATGGAATGTCTTCCACATCGATCTTTCAGACCCATAATTATTCGTGAGTCTTGATAAAAATCCTTCTATAGGGACAGGTTCTGTCATCAATTTCCCTTGCTCTGTCCTCGTATATCTCTCATGATGTGCTTTGTTTCTAAATTCCAATTGAAATGACCTAGATAAAAGTTGATTTTGAATAAAGAAAATACCACTATTATTAACAATCCATTCCAACCTATCATATTGTTTGAAACAGAACCAAGGATCAAAGTTTTTTAATAACCAGTCTGCAACTTCGGGCATATGTTTCTTTTTCTCGAGTTCCTTGAGAACTGCTTCCTTTAAATACTGTATCAAGTTACTATATTCGATTTTATACCCTTTTTGCAACCTTCGAACCTCAAGAATATTATCTCGTTGAACCAGTTTAATTATTTCTGATTCTGGAACCCTGAGCATCAAGGATAATTTTAAACCTGGAATTGAAACGTAAAATGACCTATCGAAATTATGACGTATAAATTGAGAAACAAAATGTAGCCATCTAAAAGAAGTAAATTGGTTGCTCGGTTTCATTATATATATCATTGCACCATTCTCTTTTGGAACACATAAACTTATACTTTTGTCAACACCACTATAAAATCGGCTTTTCACACGAAAATTTAGCTTGAAGCTAAATTCAGGTTTAGTCTTAGTATCGCTGGTTGTAGCACTGATATCATACAATTGAACAATCAAGGGTGCTTCCATATTCTCTGCTTTCCTCAATACAACGATATATTCCTTCCATCTTTCATAAACCCTAGAATCGCAAGGCTCATTCTCTCCAAATCCGGTCACATTATTAACATGATAAGCGTGCTTTATCAACACTAACATTTTGTCCATTCTCATAATCTCTCCAACTTCATAACTCTTCCATATATTGCTGTATATTTTCAGCCGCAAGTCATTTCCTTTTGATTTTGCCACTTTTCTAGATCCTTTTGCAAAATGCTTGAACTTTTTTCGAAATCTATGATTCTCTTTTTCTGCTTTGAGCAAATCCTCCGGATTCATTTCATATGGCGCTGGAATTGCAATCTCAACTTTTTTCCTGCGAGAAGTAGCTCTTGTTGTAATACTAGGGTCAAATGTAACCCCCAATTTAGAGATTTCTTCGTCTACAGGAGTATTAAATACAATTGTCGATTCTTCGGCCAGAATAATTGATTCTCGTCTGGCATCAGAATTTTCTAATACCTGTAAATCCATGATATCGTCCATTTCTAGATTCTGAGTATTAAATCCACTAAAATGACCATTTCCATCTTGAGATTTCATATCAAACTTCGCTGGGTAAAAAAACGATTTTACAGGAGAAGAAACCTCATTAGCAGGATCATAATAATCCAAGGAAGACTCTGATGACCCACCAGAGGTATCAAAGTTTCCACTTGGAATATCCATATCATCATCAGGCTTGTAGTTTGAATTTCTCATTTCCTCTGTCTCTAATTCATGTTCACGAGCAATCTCATTGATTATCTCATTAATATTTTCTCTCTTGTCATTCCTAAAGAACAAATTGAATCCTCCATCCGGTCCCTCTCCCTGGTTATTATTTACCCTGTACCCTGAGCTACTTCTTATGCTCTTATTCACCGTTCCAACTGCAATCTTGAATCTTTTCTTGACTTTGTTTTTTGCATGATTTGCCGCCCCAGTGAAAAATCCTAGTTTATTATCCAGTAGATATAAATTGGGAACACTTCCCAATAGTATACATTTCGATGTATCTGATAAATGTTTTGGACTTTGATATGTCAACCTAAATGCTGTAAATGACGACTTTGGAATATTAACAATATCGTCTTGATAAGGCAGTGCCATACTATTAGGACAAATATTCACAATGATTATGTCCAACGCATCAGCAGTATACTAAGCACAACAATTAGCGCTATAAACGAACCTTAAGAACAAATTTTACCTGAAGACAGTTCAAACAGTTGAAGAGGAATTTGGCTTACTTTCTGTGGTCTAGAGAATTTACTAAAAGAAAATTGCTACACCGCGTAAAGCGTACAGCCGCATTTTGCAATTATCCAAAATCATCGATTCAACTGAAATAGCGGACGTCGTACAATAAAACTAACTGGTTATTTTACTGATTCCATTCACATAAGAATCTGCGTAGCAATATTTATTGAAATAATCAAATACATATCTCACCGGTAACTTAAACTTCGAAATGCTATATACATAGTATGAAAAGCAAAACTAGCGACATTTCCATTCTCTAAATTATATCTTCATCATTGATACCAATTGCAATACCTTCAGGGTTCATATTTTCAGGGGGTGAAATGCTAGGGATAGCTTCTAAACTAATATAGACCAATCCGATGATGAAAATTAAGAGACCTGCTATAATTCTGAAAGCACTGGCTCCATTGATACTTGCACCAATTAATGTGTAGACTATAAACAGTTAGTATGTTGGTAAAAACCATTAAATTGTTAATAAATACATACAGATACCTCTACCAATAAACGAAAACAAAAATGAGGCATAAGCATAAGCCTCGGCCGGAACCCTAAATTCTAGAAACAGTTAGTCAACATCCAACAACAATCATAAGACGTGATACATACCAAGAAGTCCGATTACACCACCGAATGCAATTATGTAAATTCCAATAACAAACTAAAAA